ACACAAAAATACAACAGCTATTTTTAAAATATAAACAAGGGAGTAAAAAAAAAAAATAAAAAAAGGCATTTATGCATTTATGTCAGTGGCATAAAAGGCAAGGAAATGACAGGAAGCTCCCACTGGGACACAAAACTCCTGGGAATTCTCCTGAAGTGCTGCCAAAACAATTTTCCAAGATTACAGCCTGGAATAGTGAAAGGTTGCTTTTTCTGCTTTTAGGTTTTGACATTTTATCTAAAGCACATCAGCAGCTCTGAGTGCAGGGCTGGGAAGGGAATTTTTAATTTTTCCATTTTTCCTGAGGGGAATTTTTAAGGTGAAAATGCTCTGAGCCCGTGCTGGAGCCACAGAGGACGATGGAACAGCACAAGGACAAAAGGGAATGCTCAGACTCCTGCAGGGGAATTAAAATGGATTTTTAGCATCACACTCCTCCTGTGCCAGACAGCAGACTCTGGTCAGCCACAAGATTTTACTATTTCTCCTTTTCCCAGATCAGGATATTCTGATATCGGATTATTTCCCACCTTTTTCAGAAAACACCTTGAATTAAAAGGGAATTAAAATACCAAAAATGAGATAGTGATATGAGATATCAGATTATTCCCACCTTTGGTACTCAGCACCTTGAATTAAAATACCAAAAATGAGATATTGATATATCAGATTATTTCCCACCTTTTTCAGAAAACAGCTTGGATTAAAGGGGAATTAAAATACCAAAAATGAGATCTTGATATGAGATACCAGATTATGTCCCACCTTTTTCAGAAAACACCTTGAATTAAAAGGGAATTAAAATACCAAAAATGAGATCTTGATATGAGATACCAGATTATTTCCCACCTTTGGTACTCAGCACCTTGAATTAAAAGACCAAAAATGAGATATTGATATGAAATATAAGAAATACAGAGTAATCAGATTATTCTGTAATCAGATTATTTCCCACCTTTGGCATTCAGCACCTTGAATTAACAGGGAATTAAAAGACCAAAGGTCACAGGTTTTCATATTTTTATGGAATTTTTATAAGTTTGGGCCATTTGCATATTGGGGTTTAATATTCCAATTACAG